AAGAAACTCTTACAAATTATATAGGACCTGATAATACTAAATATTTTTTTACATTATCTTGAATAACTTTCCAAATCTATATAGTTTATAGTAAGGTTTTTACAAAGTATAAGAGTAAATTGTTCTATTATATATATTTGATTTGGATTTAAGTTTGGCAAGATTGAAGTTAATAGATTTTTGTATTGTTATATATTTAATTCTTAATGTTCAAGTAGCAAAGTTGATTTTTTTTATTTTCTAGAAAATTTATATATATATATTTTTTATATTTTTTACATTGTTTTTTTTTTTTGAATTTTTATTTTTATATATTGTTATTTTTTAATTTCAATATCAGAACAGAATTGTAAAATTTAATTGAAACAATAATTTTAAATTATTTTTATTAAATTATTATTATTTTTTTTAAGTGAACAAATATTGTTACTTTATTATAATTATAAAATTGAAAAAAATTTTATATAAAGAAAATAACAATATCTTTTATGTAATCAATTGATTAGTGAGTTTAATGATAGCTTGCCTATAATAAATTATCTAAGTTGCAAAAGAAAAAAAATATTAAAACTAATTTATTATCAAAGATAATGCTAGGCAATTATGAATACCTATTCAGATTTATATATAAAAAAATTATAAGAAATAAATATTGAAGAAAATAAAAAAAAAAATATTAAACAAAGAAATAAATGCAAAAAAATTAATTGTAAAGTTAAGAATATTTCAGAAAAGTATACTACTTTAATGATTCTATTTAACTGAAATATTGTATGTATACACTTTACAAATAATTAGGCTATTGTTTAAAGTATACAATAGTATTGATGATATATTTCTTTAATAGTTAATTGATTATAATAATTATATTGTTATTATATTAATATGATTAGTAATTGGTTTGTTTGTTGATAATATAATTTTGTTTTAATAATTGTTGTCAAAAAAAGGTTTGTTTATATTAATCAGTATATGGTATTTTAGTAATATATATTTGTTTAAACAATTGGTAATATTTGATTGATTGATTTTGAGATATTAATTAATTAATAAAAGTAAATTGATTATAGTTTTTTTGTGAAAATTTTTTTGAAAAAAAAGTTTATTTTTTTTTGTAATGCAGCAAAATATACTGGGTAATAGTAAAAAGTAAATAATAAATATATTGCTAATTTTTCAAGTTAATAATATAAATATTTTTAATATATGGTTTGGTGCTTTAATATATAAAAAAGATCTTCAGAAAAAGAATATGGTTATTTAATAAAAAATGTGTATTAATAAGAAGTAAAATAGAAAAAATTTCAAGGAAGATTTATAAAAAAGTAATTGTTATAAGTCTTTTCTTATACAATTTAAAGAAAAAACAAGATTCCTAAACTTGCTTTTCTTTAGTCAAAAGTTTTATTTTGATATAATAGTATATTTCTTAATTTTTTTGAGAATAATGATAAAGGATATATAAAGGCTGTTGATTTCCTTGCCAATATAAAAAACAGACATTCCAAGAAAATTTTTATATTTCTTTGTAATAAAGTCTATACATTTTCATTAACAACACTTATACCAAGAGACTATAGTCTTCCTTACTTGTTCTTTTCTTTTTTTGACATAAACTTTTTGTATTTCTGCAAGTAAATATAAGAAATATTTACCTATAAAGTTAAAGGTAAGAAAACTTTGTTAGGAAAAAAAACCAGTAGAAAAAACACTCTCCTCTCTTTTTCCAGAGATTTAAGATTCTAGAAAAGACTGGTACAATTTTTGGAACTCTTCTCTCATCTTCCTCAAGCTTCCTCCTATCTTTTCAAGTGTGTAAACTTTTTTCTGGTTTTTTTAGAGAATTTTGCCTACTTCAGTTTGTCCTTGAATTTTTGGTTACACCAGAATCCTTGAATAGTAATTGGCTCGAATTTTGGACTGGTTGATCTACATGTAACAAGAAATGTAAACAAGACATATAACCTCACATGTTCCATTTCGTACAACATAAAACCTGATGATACAATTGGATATAGTGAAAAGAGCAAGGTGACAAGATGTCCTTTTTGTTAAAAAGTGTTATAGTGTTCCCTCCTCCCTTCTTGAACTGGTTTTTTTTCTCTTCAAGATCAAAAGAAGTCTTATCCCAATCCAGTAACAAGCTTTCTCTATTGTTGATTATCCTGAAAATGGTTGGAGAAAGGGGTCTTGAAATTATCTACTGGTTGAAAGAAGCCATAAATCCTTAAAAATTAGGCTGAAAGAGAAATCGCCAATCAAAATATCAACCCTCTTTAAAGATTAGAAATTTTCGAATGTAAAACTTCAAGAATTATTCTTCTGGAAATACTTTTAAATATTCTTGGTTAACAATGGAATAGTAGAAATTAAATAGTTTGTCCAGTTGCAGGTGATAATAAAGGATTTATTTTGATAGATTGAAGTTGATATTGGAGAATTTTTATTTACCAAAACAAACTTTTCTACTATCTTTTCAGTTTTCCTTTAATTTCTTAAAAAAAATATAAAATTTTTTTTTATCTCTTAGAATCACAGGTTCGTATTGAAGTAACAGTTTGAATGTAAACTGGTGATGAATTTTCTTAAGGCCAAGGAGTAGTCTTGAAAAAAGAGCAATTTTATTATTCCCTACAATCATACTTAGAGAGTTATATAGCTCATTAACGGATGTTCTATATTAAACACAGTTTAGCTCTAGTATATAACCTTAAGGCTCAATATATTATTGTAATATATCTTTAAAGATTAATAAATATAGTGAATGCAGTCTGATTAGAGGAAAAAAATAAAAAAAAATAAAGGATATATAAAGAACTTTGAGATATTAAAAAGTGAAAAAATATTTGTTTTTTAAATTTAAAAGATAATTATTATAAAAAAAAATTTTTAAGAAAAATGTTATATATGGAAAAAAAAAAAAAAACTTTTTTTGCTGATCCTTTTGCCAACCCAAAAAACAAATGTTCTCAAAAGATTTTTTGTCTTTATGATAATAAAGTCTATACACTTTCTTTAAAAACAATACTAGTTATAACCAGTCAAGCAAACAAAAGTCACCACTTGTTTTATTTTTCTTTTTCAAAACACTTTTCTTGCTTATTTCTGTGACTAAATACAAGAAATTCACCTAAAAGGTCTATGGCAAGAACACTTTTATAGGAAGAAAACTGATAAGAAAAAATATCCTTCAAAGACTCCCAAAAGATTCAAGAATCTAAAGAAACAAGAATAAAGAAATCTTCAGTCTTTCCATCATCTCTTTGGCTTTCCACTTCTTTTTTCTCAAGTGTGCTTCCTTTTTTCTGATTTTTCTGAGGAATTTTGCCTACTTCAGTTTGACCTTGAATTTTTTGGTCACACCGGATTTCCTGAAAGATGATTGGTCAAGGTCACGAATTGGTTGATCACATCAGTCACAGAAAAAGTAAACAAGACACGTACTTCTCACGTGTTCCCAGTTGCGCAACATAAAACTGATAGTGTAATTGGTTTCTGAAAGAGTTAAATAGTTTCAAGTTGAAGTTGTGAGAAGAAGAGGAGGGATTCCTTTTTGTTCCTATCCTTTTATTTTCTTTTTTTTCTTCACTATTCTTTCTTAAGGACAAGAAGTAGCAATAAGGTCTAGGTCTTATCCCAATTTGGTAACAAGTTGAAGTACTGATATCTATCTCAAAAATGGTTGGAGAAAGGGATCTTGAAACTATCCACTGGTTAAGTGAAGCTATAATTCCAGAAGACATGACTTGGAAGAGAAATCAATAATAAAAAACCAATATCTTTTTTGATTAGAAGTCTTCAAGTGTAAAGTTTCAAGAAATACTCTTCTGGAAGTGCCCTTAAACATTTTTGGACATTGACTACTTTATTGGAAATTAAACAGTTTAACTGGCCACAGGTGATAAGAAGTGGGAATCTATAAGAGACTTGGGTTTTAAGTTTACTGAGATAACCTTTTCAATGATAGTTAGAATAGATAATAGCTTTTTTTTTCTTTTCTCTTTATCAAAAAATTCTTTTTTTATTTCTTTTTCTCTTTATGTAGTTTCTACAAGAGGGGGGTGTCACAATAGGTTGCATTATTTATGTAAGTTAGGTTATAATATTTATTTATTTAATTTAACTTTTATTGAATTCTTTTATGTAATAAGTTTTTAAATAATATTTACAGATTTCTTCTTGTAAACTGACCTACTATTATTTCTATTTTTGAATATATGCAACTATACAAATTTAGGTCAAATAGATAAATTCATATATCAGGTGGCATTTATATCACGAATATAAAAACTTATAATTCAGTTTTTGATTATGTTCTGATAAAAAAATTATAATAATAAAAATTATTTCAAAAAATCAGTTACAACCATTCTAATTTAAACCATAAGATTTTTAAATCAGAAACTTTTCTTTATATGCTTTTTTTAGTGTTCAATTAATTTAAATGATGATTTAATCAATCACATACAACCTGTATTAAAAATTAATTAACTAATATATATGAATAATATCATTTATTTTAAATAATTTATTTTATATTGCTTTTCAATTTGTATTTTCAACCAAATTTGTCATAAAATTTAAATTAAAAATATGATGATTTTTACGAATAAAAAAATAATAGATATTTAAAATATTAAACTTATTGGTTTAATTATAATAATAAATTAAATGAATATATTTTATTTATTTATTTATGTATTTGTCAATGTTAATTAAGAAATTTGAAATTTGATGTGATATTTTTAAAATTTTATAAAAATTTTTTAAAATAATATACACTACATGTTTAATATTTTTTAATTTTGTGTACACGAAAATTTAAATATTTTAAAATTTTATTCATAGCTATTGTAATTATCAGTACCATCCGATATAGTTCAAATTCAAAAATTATTATTTTACTACGCTGTAATAACAAAACTATTTAGATTCATGATTGGTCGCGTGTGAACTTGGCAAATCACATTGAATGATCATATAAAAGATAACCTTAAACTTTAAATAGCATTTTCATGTCCCGTGAACGTCTGCTCTGTCGTCGAAGGGATCAAAGAATTCCCGTGGACGACAAAAGTATCACCGTCATCACTTTCGGTATTAAAAGTCTTCAAACTACTCCTTAACCGATTGGCCGCTTGTACCGCCTCAACCGCCCGCCGGAAGGTTTTTTTTTGCGTTGAAATTGGATATGAAGTCATCGAACAAATCAACATCCATTACATTATCGCTTGACAACCATTTG